ATGAGTTGCAGAATTCATTGTTAATTCATGAGCGGAAGATAAATCGCCAAGACAAGCAAGAGCAAGCAGTGCAAATTTCGCAGACACAAGCCTTGCAGACCACAGTTAATTCAAGGGTTGTAGGTTGAGGAAAAGAAATCTGGAAAGGCAGACCAAGATTTGGCAAACCGAAATCTGACAGATTGGAGGAAAGTTCAGCCACTGGAATTCAGAAGAGGTGGCAGAACAGAAATTATCAAGCTGCAGATAACAGATCCAAATATGCAAGAAAGGCAAATATTGAATGCTTCATATGTCATAAGTATGGCCATTATCGTTCTGAGTACCGTGCTAATCTGAATAGAGGAGAAAGTTCCAATTTTGCAGAACACAATGAGAAGAATGATGATTCCTCTCTATTCATGGTCTGTCATCCTAAAAAAGTCAGCAAGAAGAATGTGTAGTATCTGGATACTGGTTGCAGCAATCACATGTGTGGAGACAAATCTGCGTTTTTAGATTTGGATGAGTCTTGTCAAGACAAGGTGAAATTTGGTGATAATTCCACTATTGCAGTCAAGGGAAAGGGAAAGGTAACCATTCGTGCCAAAGACAATTCAATTCAGACTATTTCTCATGTTCTGTATGTACCAGATTTGAAGTCGAATCTGCTTAGTCTAGGACAGCTTCAGGAAAAAGGATATGAAATCCTTATTAAAGATGGAGTTTGCCAAATTCGTGATTCAAAACTTGGCCTGATTGCAAAGGTCAAGATGACGGGAAATAGGCTGTTTCCATTATACTTGCAGACCACAAATCTGTCATGTTTATCTGCCAGATTAAAGGACACAGCTTAGTTATGGCATTGCCGATTTGGACATCTTTATTTTGGTGGGTTGAAGGCCTTGCAGCAGAAGAAGATGGTAAATGGTCTTCCTCATTTTGATTCTCCTTCAGAAATTTGTGAAATCTGCGTGGTCAGTAAGAAGCACCGTGACAGCTTTCCTAAAGACAGATCTTGGAAAGCAAAACAGGTGCTAGATCTGGTTCATTCTGATTTGTGTGAACCCATAAATCCAACATCCAATGGAGGTAAACAATACTTTATTACCTTTGTTGATGATTATAGTCGCAAGACATGGGTGTATTTTTTGCAGACCAAGTCAGAAACCTTAGCAGCCTTTAAAAATTTCAAAGTCTTGGCTGAGAATGAGGTTGGCAGATCTGTAAAGGTTCTACGCACAGATCGTGGTGGTGAGTTTAATTCAAAGGAATTTGCAGATTTTTGTGAGTCCAATGGCATTAAAAGGCAACTCATAGCAGCCTATGCACCTCAGCAGAATGGTGTATGTGAGAGGAGGAATCACACAATCATGAATATGGTGCGAAGTTTGATGTCAAAGAGCGGCTTGCCTAAGGAGTTTTGGCCAGAAGCTGTTAATTGGAGTGTTCATATCTTGAATAGAAGTCCCACATCTCCACTTCCAAATTTGATGCCAGAAGAGGCTTGGAGTGGACGTAGACTTGCTGTTGATTACTTCAGAATTTTTGGGTGCATAGCATATGTACATGTGCCAGATCAGAAAGGAGTAAGCTTGATGACAAAGGGGAAAAGTGTATTTTCCTTGGTGTTAGTGATCAATCCAAAGCTTACAGATTATACAATCCTTTAACCAAGAAGGTCATCATTAGCTGTGATGTAGTGTTTGATGAAGCAAGCACTTGGTCTTAGACAGAAAAATCTGGGCAACAGATTCTTGCAGATTTCGAAAATGGAGAAGATCTGACTGTGCAGAACTCAGAATGTCAAACTTCAGCAGATCTCAAGGTTTCAAGACAGACAGCTGAAGAAATTCTGCCTACAGAAGTAGAGTTCAGTACTGGAGGAAGTCTGCCAACAACACTAGAACTGGAATCTGGAACTAGTTCCAGACCTCAACGCAAAAAGAGAAGACCAGCATGGTTGGAAGATTATGAGGTAACAGATCTACCTCAAGATGATGTTCCAGTTAATCATTTTGCTTTATTTGTAGATTGTGATCCCTTAACATATGAAGAAGCTGTTAAAGAAGAAAAGTGGCAAAAGGCCATGGCAGAAGAAATTGGTTCTATTGAAAGGAACCAGACTGGGGAGTTGACAGATCTTCCAGAAGGGCACAAAACAATTGGTGTTAAGTGGATCTACAAGACAAAGCTCAAAGAGAATGGGATGGTTGACAAATTCAAAGCTCGCTTAGTGGCAAAAGTTACAAGCAAGAGTTTGGCATTGATTATCAAGAAGTTTTTGCTCCAGTTGCAAGGATGGATACCATCAGATTGGTGATTGCATTGGCAGCACAAAACTCATGGCCGATCTATTAGCTTGATGTGAAATCTGCCTTCTTGCATGGAAATCTATAAGAACAAGTATTTATTGATCAACCTCTTGGTTATGTGAAATCTGGTTCTGAGCATAAGGTTTACAAATTGAAGACAACATTATATGGACTAAAACAAGCACCTAGAGCTTGGTATAGTCGAATTGATGCTTATTTTTTGAAGGAAGGTTTTCAAAAGTGCCCTTATGAGCATACACTTTACATCAAATTTGGAGATGGAGGTAAATTGATTATAGTATGCTTATATGTTGATGATTTAATTTATACTGGGAATGATTTTGGCATGTTGAAAAAGTTCAAGCAGTCCATGAAACTTGAATTTGAAATGACAGATCTGGGGTTTGTTGCATTATTTTCTTGGTCTGGAAGTAGTACAGTCAGATTTTGGAATTTTTGTTTGTCAGAAAAAATATGTGCAGGAAGTTCTGGACAGATTTCAAATGAAGAACTGCAATTCTGTCACTACACCAATTGACAAAGGTGTAAAGCTCGTGAAAGATCCAAGAGGTAAATCTGTGGACAGCAAACTGTATAAGCAGATTGTTGGAAGTCTGATGTATCTGACAGCAACAAGACTAGATATAATGCATGGTGTAAGTCTAATTAGCAGATATATGGAGCATCCAAAGGAGTTGCACTTGCAAACTGCTAAAAGAATTCTTAGGTATTTATGTGGAACTGTAGATTTTGGACTATTGTACAAGAAGGGTGACCAGATAGATCTCGCAGGCTTTACAGACAGTGATTATGCTGGAGATCTGGATGATAGAAAAAGCACTTCTGGGTTTGTTTTTATGCTGGGATCTGGTGCAATTTCATGGTCTTCAAAGAAGTAGCCCATTGTGACTTTGTCCACAACAGAAGCGGAGTATGTGGCAGCAACTTCTTATGCTTGTCAAGCTATTTGGTTGAGAAGAATTATGGAAGAACTTGAGCTGAATCAACATGAGGCCACTTCAATTTATTGTGATAACAGTTCAGCCATCAAACTTTCTAAAAATCCAGTTTTGCATGGGAGAAACAAGCATATACATGTGCGGTATCATTTCTTACGCAACTTGGTAGAAGATGGAACAATTGAGTTGATTTATTGCAGAACAGAAGATCAAGTGGCTGATATATTCACAAAACCCCTCAAAGTAGCAACTTTTTCAAAACTGAGAAAGTTACTTGGTGTTTGCAACATGCAGAATTCAGTTTGAGGGAGGGTCTGCAGATTCCAGATCTGCAGATATAGTATTATCCAGATTTCTTTCAGTTTAAGGGAGGGATTGTTGGAAATTAGATCCTATTATTTAGCCATTATCTCTATATTTAGGAAGTTTAAGTTATTTATTTGTTTTAGGTTGTTATCATTTAAATTAGATTAGATAAGATTGGTTAGTTATCTTTTTAGATAATATTATCTTGTAAAAAGCCTATTTAAAGGTTGGATTATTTTCAGTTTAATCAGTGATTCAGTTTTTTTTCATTCCATCTTCTTCTTTTCGGGAATCCTTGATTTTTAACAGTAGGACCACAGTGTGGCCGATTACGTACACAACTCGCAAAAATGGGCATAAAAAGCCTGTACTTTACAAAGGGTGGAGACCCTTTGCTCTTAGGAACAAACTATAAGTGGGTGACATTGTGACCCTTTGCAAGGAGGAAGATAAAGTAGGGTATTTGGACTACAGGATTGAAGTGAAGAGAGCAGATAAGCCATCTCTTAAGCACTCTCTTGCCACCGTCGGCAATTTACCGACCGGTAACTCTGGCGAAACTACTTGTATATTACATCCTAGCTTTGAAGATGGAGTAGTCAAGCTAGTTGGTGTTTCAGATGAGAAAGTAGAAAAGAGCTCTTTCAAGCTATTTGGGGTTAATGTTGTTGAGAAGCGGCAACTGGTGGACACCTCCTATGAGGTCACCGCGGATAAAACAGAGATTGGGGCCCAGGAGGACAAAGAGTTCTGGAGTGGCTCAGTCTACACTCTGGACTTGACTCTGGTGCCGCCCGAAGTCAATGGCCCAAGATAAATCCTGCAGCCCCCAATCAAAGATATGGTTAGTTGGTTATAGCCTTATTTTAGTTTGCTAAATGCTTTGATCATATTGATGCTCCATGACCCGCAGTGGACCCAAGGGGCCCATAGGAGAAATGCATCAATTCCCAGCCACGAACTGGCTTCAATTACCCCCTCTCCAAACTCCAATCCAAATTGTAATACTTAAAAAGAAAAAAAAAAAAGAATCATGCTTCGCAACCCTGAAAATACTGCCGAAGATGAAAACCTCGCGTTTGACCTTTTTTTTTATTTTTTTTTATTGATGGTTATAGTTATATAATTTATATTATATTAAATTATATGATATTTTTTATTAATTATTTATAAATACCAAAAAGAGAATAAAAAAAATCAAGATGGTCAAAAAACTGATATTAGCTTGTCCTTAATTAAAGGTGTGCTCCCCACTCATTTTCCAATACAATATACAGAACAACAGTCCTTTCTTCTCACCTCCTCCTCCTCTTTCGACGAGGGCACCGTCAGTGTAAAGCGGAATCTTGCCAATTGCGCCCTGATTCTCCTAACAACTCTTTTCCTCAACCTCC